CAAACTTGTCTGTCGGTTTGTCCTACCGTGGTGACGTGTTGATGTGAGTTTTGAGGCCGAGCCACTGGTGTTTCAACCCAGTGGGATACACATGGTGGCACAGGTATCAGCCCAGTTTACAGACTGAGACAGACTAGGAAGAAGGAAGAGGCCGTCCACTTCTCAAAGAATTGGCCAGGGAAAACCTTATGAATGCAAAGAAACATTGTAGTCTACATAGTAATTAATTCACAAAATTTCCATTGTACAGAAGCATGGAGATTCTGTATAATGCCACATTCCTTCCTTTATGGAATAGGTTGGAATGATTTGGAATTGCTCAAGTTCACTCAAAGAATCAGTTACCCCACCTGCATTGTTTTTAACTACACCTTATAGAACTGCACATTTCAGTGTTTGTACTGTAGATTTGAAGTAAACAATGATAATATTGCACAGTGATTATAAAACCAAAGAAATAGAATTTTATCTATTTGATCAATTGTTATTCTATGTGGCCACTTAGGATTTTCACCTATGTTGCATAAAATTTTTCCACCTGCAGAGACATTTGAAAGCCTTTAGAATTGATGCTGAAGAAAAAAGATATGGGCAATATTGCAACTTCTGGACTATCTGTTATGGTAGTTAAGTGTCAATTTGGGTGGGCTTGGTTTTGAGGGGCTGGGCCGCTAGCTGGATGTAGTGTTCTCCATGATGAGACTGGTAACCAGTTCCATGGTGGAATCTACTGTGAACAGCTGAATAGCTGCTTAGGGATGTGGTCTGCTCCCAGTATATAAGAAGGAGCTTTAGGAATGAGCTGTAGCTTTTTGGCATGCTTCAGTCTTGCATGTAACCTAATTGTTATTCAGCAGACTGCCATGCTGTCTGCCAATCTTGGGACTCTTAATGGACTTGAATCAATGGCCTGCCATGTGGTTTGGTAATATTGGGACTATACCTTTTTACTTGTTGACCTTGACTTTGTCAGCCTCAGCAGTCAGCAGCTGTCTGAGTGAAGAAACGCCTCCAGCTTCAATAGGCCAGGAGCAAGAGGCAGAGCTGGAGCCCAAGTTTGAGGGGCTTTCACACAGCCCCTAGAGCCTGGCACTTTGAACTTGGACTTCTAGCCTCCAAAACTATAAGAGAATAAACTCCTGTTTGTTAAAGTCACCGATTGGCAGTATATTCCTGTCAGAGTGGCACTAGGTAACCAAAACAATTGTGAAACATGATTTTTATAGATCTCTGTCACACATATCCCTATAAACCCTTTTCCAAAATTTACATATGTGTTTTTTCAGGAAAATAAACTTCTCAAAATTAAAATTTATAGGTGTTCTTTAATTAATTGTGAACAAAAATAAATTGATGTGACTGATTATTCTGATCAATGTGAATATGTGAAAAATGTTAACTTGACAAAATCATTGACTGTGGTGGTTATATTTGTGTGTCAGCTTGGCTGGGCCTGGTTGAGTGGCTGGGCAGCTGGTGGTAGTTATTCCCCATGATGAGACTGGTAATCAACCCCATGATGGGATCTACCACAAGCAGCTGAGTAGCTGCCTTTGGGATGTGGTCTGCTTCCTGTATATAAAGAAAAGCTTTGAGAATGGTCTCTATCCTTTGGCATGCTTGGACCCTGCATGTAGCCATGCCATTGCTCAGCAGCCTGCTATGCTCTGCCAACCTTGGTACTTAACAATAGACTTAAGTTAATGGCCTGCTGTGTGGTTTGGTAACATCAGGACTGTGCCTTTTTACTTGTCAACCTTGGGGCGTCTCAGCCTCAGCAGCCTGCAGCTGTCTAAGTGAAGAAATGCCTCTAGCTCCAGTGGGCCAGAAGCAGGAGGCAGAGCTGGACCCCAAGGTTGAGGGGCTTTCACCCAGCCCCTAGAGCCTGACACTTTGAACTTGGACTTAAAGCCTCCAAATTGTAAGAATAAATTCCTGTTTGTTAAAGCCATCCCATTTGTGGTATATTCTTGTCAGAGAGGCACTGGGTAACCAGAACACGGCCAAATCTGGGGAAGATAAGGTCTAAAATAGAAATTATAATATTATTTTTATTTATTAATATGATATATGTATGTTTAGCTATGGGAGATCTGGTGCATAGTGCCTAAGACATTTGACTGCTAACCAGAAGGCTGATGGTTCAAACCCACTAGCCATTCCTCAGAGGAAAGACTGGGCAATTTACTTCTGTAGAGATACTGCTTTGGAAACCCAAGGAGGGGTTGCTATGAGTCAAAAGCTACTCGATGGCAGTGAGGTGAAGTACATATAAGCTATAAAACTTTCTCTTTCTTCAAAATAAATTGATATAATTTAAAAGATCTTATGCATACAATTAAAAGTATTTTGTACAATAACATTTATTTTAATTTGTAAAAAAACAAAAGAAGCTGAGGCCCAGATTGTCAGATTCCACTGAGTGCACAGGAGAATTACAGAGATCCCTGAACAACATGGAATGTACTTGAGAACAGAAAAACAGGAACAAAGAGACATGGTAGTGGCAGAGTGATCATAACATCACACAAACCCCCTTTATCACAAAACATGTTAACTCTGAACTCAAAGTTTACCTTGGAAAATAATTTAACTTTATCTAAAGTAAATTTCTCACAACTGGACCTGTAAGCAACAACATCATGATGAATGAGAAAGCATGTACAATGCACAGTACCTTGTTGTTGTTAGGTGCTGTTGAGTCAGCTCTGACTCATAGTGACCCTGTGTACAATGGAACAAAATACTGCCCAGTCCTGTGCCAGCCTCATAATCCTTGCTGTACCTGAGCCCATCGTTGTAGCCACTGTGTCAATCCATCTCATTGAGGGCCTTCCCCTTTTTCATTGACTCTCCACTTTACCAAGCATGATATCCTTCTCCAGGGAGTGGTCCCTTCTGACAACATGACCAAAGTGATTGAGATGAAGTCCAGCCATTCTCACTTCCAAGGAGCATTCTGGCTGTACTTCTTCCAGTACAGATCTGTTAGTTCTTCTGGCAGTCCATGGTCCTTTCAGTATTCTTCGCCAACACAACTCAAAAGCATCAACTCTTCTTTGATCTTCCTTATTCATTGTCCAGTTTTCACATGCATATAAGGCGATTGAAAATATCATGGGTTGGGTTAGGTGTGCCTTAGTCTTCAAATAGACACCATTGCTCTTCAGCACTTTAAAGAAGTCTTTTGCAGAAGATTTGCCCAGAGCAATACATCATCTTACTTCTTAACAGCTGGGTTGGTTCGATTCCTGGCCAATTCACCTCACACACAGCCAACACTCATCTGTCAACAGAAGCTTGCATTTTGCTATGATGCTGAACAGGCTTCACCAGGCTTCTAGACCAAGACAGACATGTCATTAGTGTTGATTGTGAAACCAATAAAATGAAATCTTTGACAACTTCAATCTTTCCTCCATTTATCATGATGCTGCTTATAGGTCCAGTTGTGAGGATTTTCGTTTTCTCTGTTGAGATGTAATCCATACTGCAGACTATAGTCTTTACTCTTCACCAGAAAGTGCTTTGAGTCATCTTCACTTTCAGCATGCAAAGTTTTGTCATCTTTGTATTGCAGGTTGTTAATGAGTCTTCCTCCAATCCTGATGACACATTCTTCTTCATATAGTCTAGCTCTTCAGATTATTTGCTCAGCATACAGATTGAATAAGTATAGTGAAAAGATACAACCCTGATGCACTTCCATCCTAATTTTAAACCATGCAGTATCCCCTTGTTCTGTTTGAATGATAGCCTCCTGGTCTCAGTACAGGTTCCTCACAAACATAATTAAGTGTTCAGGAATTCCTATGCTTCTCAATACTATCCATAATTTGTTTTGATCCACACAGTCAAATGCTTTTGCATAGCCAATAAAACACAAGTAAACATCTTTATGGTATTCTTTGCTTTCAGGCAAGATACATCTAACATCAGCAATAATATCCCTCATTCCACATCCTCTTTTGAATCCAGCTTGCATTTGTAGAAGTTCTCTGTCAATAGATTTCTGCAACCATTTTTGAATTATCTTTAGCAAGATTTTACTTGCATGCAATATTAATGATATTGTTTGATAATTTTCACATTCTGTGTGATCACCTTTCTTTGGAATGGGTACAAACATGGATCTCACCACTCGTCTGTCAGTTTGTCATACTGTGGTGGCTTATGTGTTGCTGTGAGGCTGGAGGCTATGCCACCAGTATTTCAAATACCAGCAGAGTCACCTATGGTGGATAGGTTTCAGGGAGCTTCCAGACTAAGACAGATCTGGAAGAAGGAAGGGGCCATCTACTTCTCAAAGAATTGGCCAGTGAAATTTGACACACCTAGTACATAGTACCTAGTACAGAATAATTGTTCAATAGATAATTACTACTTTCTATTATTATTCTATGACAACTCCCAGAGACACTTGAGTCTTGTTATTACAATAATGAACACTTATCTGTAGGTTTCCTTTATTAGCCAATAAGCTTCTACACAGGTATGTTTTTATTTTTGTATTCCCAACTCTTTTCACTTGAAAATGTGAACATTCAATAAATGTTTACTGAATGAATACATGAATAAATGAATGTAGTTCTAATGAAGTATTGATGAACTCAAGATACCAAAAGTGTTTAATAATTTGTATAGGCCAAGCCATTTAATGATGTCAAAATCATGTGTAAAATAATGAAAGCAGCATAGGACATACATCTATGTATTTTTATTTTATAGGATCTGAAATAAAGATCTACTTACTAATAATTTTCTTAGAATCAGAAGACTCAGAAACAGGATCAAAGGTACAAATGGGGAATTACCACAGCATAGTTTCATTTCCTCCTTCTGGGTATCTGGTAGGACTACTTAAGCTCAAGTTGTTAAATCTCAGTGATTGCCTATCCCACATGGGTTGACTCATAGATCCTTCTTGTCAGCAGGCAGTCATCCTAGAAGAGAAGAAAGAGTTCTTAAGTGCTGTGTCTTTGCAAGGACTCAATAGAACAATGGAATATCATTCTAATTTACAAATTTTGGATGAGGATGGATATGCTCAATTAGACTTCAGCTCTCGAGGTCTCTCCAGGAGACCTATCATCTCAGAGAAAGGTAATTTTTCTTTATCCCTTCAATACTGTCATCATCATTATCATTATCTAAAACAAGTGAGGAAATTTGACACTTGTGGTTTGTAGGGCTTTTATTAAAATGGTTTTAAACCTCAGGTTTTCAGAAGTCACTGAAGTTAATTTGAATGTGGACTAAACATTTTCTCATGGCAACCCAGGTAATAGCATTCAGTGACTAATTGTCAATATTTAAATTACTGGTAGGAAACTCTGGTGGAACAGTACCTAAGGTGTTTGACTGCTAACCAGAAGGCTGGCAGTTCAAACCCACCAGCCACTCCTCAGAAGGAAGACTGAGCAATCTACTTCTGTAGAGATACCACCTCAGAAACCCAAGTAAGGGTAGCTATGAGTCAAATCAGTATTTAAATTACTTATAGATGGTGACAGAAAATATCATGATTTCTCTGTTCTCTAGGAATAGACACTCAAACAGTGAGGAGTTGTAAAACATATGGTGATATGTACAGATGGACTTTCAATAGGAGCGGCTTATTGCCTGTTTGATAGAAAAGTGTAGATTGTAGAAAGGAGGTGAAGGAAACTTAAAGAGCTGTAGAAGAACAGCATCAGGAAATAGCAGATAAGAAAGTGAACCAAGGAAATATGGAAAATTAGGAAGGAAATTCACCAAGGGACAAATAATTTGCCCATTTGTCATTTTGTGGTAAAATGGAAGTCAGAAGTCATAAGGTTTATGTTAAAGGAAAAGATTTCTTTAGCCTTAAACAAACTATAACCACAAAAACAAAACCTCATTGCCTTCCAGTTGATTCGACTCATAAGACAGTCAAATGCCTTAGGCACTATGCCACCAGTGCTCCCAAACAATAATAAAGGTGAAATATGAAGAAGGGCATGAAGAAAAACCTGTATCTTCATTGTTGTCGTTATGTGCCATCCAGTTGGACTGACTCATAGAGATCCCTCCTTGGGTTTCAGAAGAGGTATCACTATGGCTGGAAGTAGATGCCCAACCTTCCTTCCGAGGGGTGGCTGGTGGGTTTAAACCGCCAGCCTTCTGGTTAGCAGTCAAGTAATTAGAATTATTAATTTAGCCTCCTCTATGTGTCTCCTAACCAGAAGGCTGGCAATTCAAACCCACCAGCCAGTCCTGGGAAGGAAGGTTGGGCAATCTACTACTTCTGTAGTGATACTGCCTCGGAAACCCAAGAAGGTTCACGGATCCGACTCCATGGCAGTGGGTTTTTGTATGAGGCTCCTAAAGAGCTCTGGTGGCATTGTGGTTAAAACATTTGGCTGCTAAACAAAAGGTCAGTGGTTTGAACCCACCAGCCACTCCATGGGAGAAAGATAAGGTTTCCATAAAGATTCAAAGCTTTGGAAACCTAATAGGGCAGTTCTACTCTGTCCAATAGGGTCATTATGAGTCGGTATCAATTGAATGGCAGTGGTTTTATTTCTTTTTTTTTCCAGGGTAATATGGATCTCTTATATGATAATTCTTATTCTATTAAAGGCAGAGATAAACTCTCCCCACCTCCCATTCAACAGTTTACACACATTTTGTTTTGTGACTTTGATTGCACTACCCTCATGAAACAGCACTCTTTCCACTTCCTCCATGGGTTCCCCATTCTCATTTGTCCTTCTTTCTTGCCCTTCCGGCTTTGTAAGCTTTGTTTTTTGGGCAAATCCTGTCCTTTTGGTCTATAGTTGATTATACTGAGGAGTACATTCCTCCTTGTTGTTATTATTCACTTTATAGTTCTGTCTATTGTTTGGCTGAAAGTTGACCCTTGAAGGTGAGTTCAGGTCCAGGCTTGAAGCTGTCTCAGGGCCACAGTCTTGGGGATTCCATCAGTTCCTTGAAGACTAGTAAGTCAGGTCTTTTTTTTATGGTTTTGAATTTTGTTCTTTTTTTTCTTTCCCCTGTCTGCCCAGGACCTCCTATTGTGACCCTGATCAGAGAGGTTGATAGTAGTGGCTGGGCACCATCTAATTCTGATCTCAAGGATATGTTCTTGGTGTCACAATGTTAACACAAAATGGGTACTATATGAAGGGAGCTTATACACAACTTTTTACATGAGAATTTGCTCTCTTCTGCTTTTTTGTAATTCACATTGCACAATTATTTTGTCTCACTGATTACACAATTCTTTTCTTAAGCAATCTTTTGGGGAAGAGTAGATAAACTGTCTGGAGCAAGAGGTAGGAAGGCATACTTATGTTTATGTATGTGTGTATATAAATAGTAAGTTACCTACACTGTGCTGTTGTTGTAGTTATGTGCCGTCGAGTTGGCCCCAACTCATAGTGACCCCTCCTTGGGTTTCCGAGGCAGTATCACTACGGAAGTAGATTGCCCCATCGTCCTTCTGAGGACTGGCTGGCGGGTTTGAACTTCCAGCCTTCTGGTTAGCAGTTAAGTGCCTTAGGCACTACGCTACCAGAGCTGTGCTAGCAGTTCCTTAACTAGGTGTTTTTACATGTGTTAGCTATTGCAATCCCTACAACAATCCTTTGTGGTATTACTATTCCAATTTTTCATAAACAGTAATGAAAAATCAGAGGAAATAATTTGTTCAAGGTCCTACAAAAAACAAGTAAAATGGAAAGGTTCCATATTTTGATTTTTCCACCCATAATACCCAGTGCTCTTACCCCACGTTAAGCTGTCTCTTCTAAAAATAAGTGGGATTTCAGAATTCTTGGTAATATTAAGACCTACAGAAGAAAGTGCACCCAAAATGCTCCTTGGAAGCAAGAATGGCCAGACTTTGTCTCACCTATTTTGGTCATGTTGTCAGAAGGGACCATTCCCTGGAGAAGGATATCATGCTTGGTCGGGTGGAGGGTCGACGAAAGAGGGGAAGGCCTTCAATGAGATGGATTGACATGGTGGCTGCAATGATGGGCTCAAGTATAGCAGGGATCGTGGAGCTGGCATGGGATCGGACAGTGTTTCATTCTGCTGTGCATGGGGTCGCTATGAGTCAGAAACGGCTCGACAGCACCTAACAACAACACAGGCAACTTTCTGGAACTGAAATTAAGAATGCAAGCATATCAAAGCACTGTGGTCAAATTACATGTCCAGGACTTGAAATCCAAAACCAAACCCACTGATGTCTATTCAATTCCAGGGAATAAAGACCTTGTAGAGCAGAGTAGAACTGCTCCATAGGGCTTCCAAGGCTATAAATTTTTAGGGAAGCTTATTGCCTCATCTTTCTCCCATGAAGTGGCTGGTTGGTTCAAACTGTCTCCTTTTTTGTTAGCAGATGAGTGCATAAACTTCTATACCACCAGGGCTCACTTCCAGGACCTGAAGAGGTACACTAAGGATGGAGAAAAAAATCAGGCTAATCCTAGATGATTATCTGATTATCTGAACAACAGTGACTAATGGTTCACTTCAGAATTTTCCAGATTTTTATAAACTGTAGATTTAAAGACTCCTCAGTCTAACATCCTATTTCTTCACTCTATTTCTTCTCCCTTGGCCCCTCAGGAGCTTGTATTACATCTCCTCGTTGGTGTCTCATTGCTGTGACCCTGGGGGTCTTATTCTTGATAACACTGGTGATAGCTGTGGTTCTGGGCACCATGGGTGAGTATTGATATAAATTAACAGCAACAATTACTTTCAATGAACATTGATTATATGCCAGGGACTTATTTAAGGGCTTGACATGCACAACCTCATTCAACCATTACATTAACTCTATTGAGTTGGTGCTATTCATTCCCGTTTTATTTATAAGGGATTTGAGACACAGGGAGGTGATTCTACTCTTCCCGGGTCATAAAGTGTTGGGGGGGGGGGAGCATGATTAGAAATTTAGACAGTATTTCTAAAAAACTCCTAGTCTAAACCATAGTGCTTTGTTGTTGTTGCTGTTGTTATGTGCCGTCGAGTCGGACCTGACTCATAGTGACCCTTCCTTGGATTTCCGAGGGGTTATCACTAGGGAAGTAGATTGCCCAACCTTCCTTCCAAGAAGTGGCTGGTGGGTTTGAACCACCAGCTTTTTGGTTAGCAGTCAAGTGCTTTAGGCACTACGCTACCAGAGCTCCCTACCTCCCTAAAATAACCAGTTTCAAAGTCATGGAATTCCCATGATAAATTAATGAAATTGAAAAGGGAAGTACAATATGGTGCTATTTCCCTATTGAAATAAATCGACTAAAACCAAACCCACTGGCGTACTGTTAATTCTGACTTATAACAGCCCTGTGGGACAGAATAGAACAGCTCCATAGCATTCTCAAGGTGCAAATCTTTACAGAAGCAGACTACCACATCTTTCTCTGGCAGAGCAGCTGTTGGGTTTAAACCACTGGCCTTTTATTTAGCAGCTGAGTATTTTAGCCACTGTGTCACCAGGGTTCCTAACATCTACTAAAGGGTCTACAAACTTATTATTTTTTTTAATGGGTCTCATGATGTAAAGAAATTGTTCTATACCTGTATTTAATCTAAACTGCTCTAGATGTTCCCGGAATTGTCTGGCACTTACTAAGTACTATGTACATATTTTATGATGGTTGAATAAATTTCTTTATATTTTATATCTCATGCATTCTGGTCTCAATGGAGTATTATTAGACCTTCAGAAGCTCTTCATCAGATTCCTTAATTAGTCAAATGTTTATTGAGTTCATTCTATTATATAGGGACTCAAGGACCTCATACTTCTAAATAACAGAAGACAGATAGAAGAATTATTATAGATATATTATGATTCTTATCAACTTTCTTCCATTTGTCTACTGCTGCCTCCATCATTTTTCTTTCTTTTCTACTTGTTTCATTTTCTCCTTTCTCACGATACCTCTTTTATGGAATTTACTTAGCCTTCCTATCTATCTATCTATCTATCTACCTACTTACTTATCACTCATATTTACGTCCCCACCAGAAATTTTGCACCTAGTTATCATTATCAATAATGTATCCTTCGATATCCTCACAAAACAAAAATATGGGTTTGGAGATTTTACTTTGCAAACATAGTAGAATAACTTTTTTTTCCCCCACTATTATTTTTGTTGGTATATGAAGCTATTTGGAGACCCAATTCAGGGAGCAACCCATCGAAGAACAACAACTTTCCATCACGAAGTAAACAGAACCATAGCCGACCCACACAATCAACTTTAGAAGACAGTGTGGCTCCTACCAAGGCTCTCACAACCAGAGGCAAGGGCAGAGTTCAAGGATTCATAGATTCTTTGATTCCAGAAGGTTTATTCTTGGGGGGAAGGCCTGGGGCAGAGGACTGAGGAGATTACACTTACATCCAATGATCGTGCATTCAAGGAAATCACACTTATCAGTACTATCACAGTACTCTTTCATATAGAAAATAACATGGTATTATAAATACTCTATGCCCTTAACTGAACACTTTGAAGTTAGATTTTTTTTCACTTAAATAACTGATTTATCATTAGTTATGTAGGCCTATAGATTTTATAGTTTGATGCAAATGAAAGAAAAGTGTTATTTCCCCTTAGGGAATTGACATTTTCTGTATTTTTCATCTTTTTCTTGTGAATTGAGTGAAAACTTACAGAGCAAATTTGTTTTCCATTCAACTGTTCATACAAGTTCTGTTTTGTGACATTGAATGAAGTCCTCACAGTGTTAACAGCACTCAGTCCACTTCCTCCCTGTAGTTAGCATTTACATTTTTTCACCTGACCCATCTATTCCTGCCTTCTGAGCTTTATCCCTGGGCAAATGGTGCCTTTTTTTATCTCAAATGGTTGATTATTCTAAGGAGTATGTACCTCCATAGTGTTACTGTTCACCCCACAGGCCGGTCTATTGTTTGGCTGAAAGTTGAGTCACAGGGTTGAGTTCAGTTCCAGGCTTGAAGGATAAGAGTCTCAGGGGTTAGACCATTCTAACTGTATCAGACCATTAAGCCTGGTCTTTTTTTTTTTTTTTTGAGTTTTGCTGCAGACTTGTCTCTCACTCTATTCAGGATCTCCTATTATGATCCCCTTCAGAGTGGTTCGCTGTGATACCATCTAGTTCTGCTCTCAAGATCATGAAGGCTGAGGTCCATGTGGTCCACTAGTCCCTTGTACTAACTGTATCCATGCATCTTTGATTTTCTTCACTCTGCTTTGCTCTGGATGAGAAGAGACCAATAGTTGCACTTAGATGACCACTCAAAAGCTTTTAAAACCTTAGTCACTACTCACTAAAGTTGGGTATAGAACATTGTCTTTGTGGACTGTGTTATGCCAATTGATGTTTATGTCCCTGATGACTGTGGTCCTAAGCCCCAAGGCCCAGTGACCCATTTGCTCATGGTGTTTGGTTATGGCTAAATTTTCATTTGCTCTACTACCTATACGGGTATTTTTAGAGCACATACAAATACCTATGTAGAAATATAGTCTGCCAAACCTATGTATGATCATGGGTAGAGTCCCATTCTCCTACTTATACCTGATCAGCTTGCCTATCTATGTATCCATTCATAGATTAACATTTGTTGTTAGTGATAATGCAAGATTATGCATAAAATAATGTCTGCCTCTGTTTATAACTCCTATGAAACTCTCCATGTCTTCTTTTTCTTAGTGATATGAAGTTAGTTACCCCTTTTTGTATATTGCTTCTCCCTTCACCCAAATTAATACATGTCTCTTATCTAGTTAGTATTTTTCCCTCTACCCTCCTCCCATCTCTAGTAACCATCAAAGAATATTTCTTTCTGTGTGTAAACTGTTCCTTGACGTTTTATAATAGTGGACTCATGAATGATTTGACATTTTAAAGCAGTGCAGTTAGAATAAGAAATAAAACATTAAAATGGATGTTCTACTTTAAAGGGAGGGAAGAAGGGAAGAAGAAATAAGGTCAAATGTTGCCAAGAAATAAAATATTAAATTAGAAACATATAATGCAGATGGGCCTATAATTATGTTCCTAGAAACTTGGGTTTGTTTTTAAAGTTAATCATACAATTTCACTGATTTGCCTAATAACTTTATATACATATGACCTTATTTATTGATTAAATCATAGTTGACTGTGACTTAATATTTTAACTTCAACTTTCTATCCTTAAATCCACACTTCCTCACTATTTTTGCCAATTGGCTAATAAAACATAACAGGACGACTCTGTAATATGAATAATTGCCCTTATGTTTTTCTCATTTTAAAAGTTGTGCTCTGAAATGAATCTCACACATATAAAATAAGGTTCAGAAAACAAAGGCAAAGAGAGGAGGCTCGGTTGCCTAAAACACTGCTTACAGTTAATCAACTCATATTTACTTTTTAAATTTAAATGATTGGAGATATTGGAATGTGGTCTCTTCTGTAAAGTTCTATTCCTGTTGTTTGAAGTAAAAATGAAACATATTAATGGCAATTCAGTGATTGTTTATCAAGTATCCTCATGATATATATCATCACATATAGCTTGCACTGAAAGATTGATTTAGTATGATATGAGCCTCATGCTACTTTTATTTATAGGAGTTTTTTCCAACACTTGTGCCCCTAACTGGATTACACATGAGAAGAGCTGTTATCTATTAAGAACTGTACTAGATTCCTGGAATAGAAGTAAAGAACACTGCTCTCAACTGGGCTCTCATCTCCTGAAGATAGACAGCTCAAAAGAATTGGTAAGCATAAACTGCAGTCATATTTATGTGTGGTTTATTTTGAGCAGGAAAATGGAGAGAGACTGTGGTAGTTCAGTTTGTGTGTCAACTTGGCTGGGCCTGGTTGAGTGACTAGGCAGCTGGATGTAGTATTCCCCATAATGAGACTGGTAATCACCTCCATGGAGGAATCTACTGTGAGCAGCTGAGTAGCTGCCTTAGGGACGTGGTCTGCTTCCTGTATATAAGAAGCAGCTTGGGAATGGTCTCTAGCTTATGGCATGCTTGAACACTGCATGTAGCTGTGTCATTGTTCAGCAGGCTGCCATACTCTGCCAACCTTGGAACTTTCAATGGACTTGAATTAATGGCCTGGTGTGTGGTTTTGTAACATCAGGACTGTGCCTTTTTGCTTGTTAACCTTGGGCTTGTCAGCCTCAGCAGCCGGCAGCTGCTGAGTGAAGAAAAGCCTCTATCTCCACTGGGCCAGGAGCAGGAGAGCTGAAGCCCAAGGTTGAGTGTCTTTGACCCAGTCCCTAGAGCCTGGCACTTTGAACTCTGACTTAAAGCCTCCAAACTGCAAGAGAATAAACTCCTGTTTGTTCAAGCATCCCATTTTTGGTATATTCTTGTCAGAGAGGCACTAGGTAACCAGAACAGAGACCATAGGGAGATTATAATAATTTTTAGCATATCTGTAATTAGCATCAAGTGCATAATACATGCTTTTATTTTTAATGAATTAATTTAAAAAGTATTCACTTTTAATCAATACTTTTAAACACATTCCACATTTATGTTGTTGTTAGGTGCCATCAAGTTGGCTTCAACTCATAATAACCCTATGTACAACAGAATGAAACATTCTATTTCAGGAGGTGGTATATGATCAAGAACCAATGGTATTGAAGGTAGAAGTCCACATTTATATGACTACTAATCATAATCAGGTCACTGCTAATTTTTGTGAGTTTATATCTTAATTTATAAATTCGGTGGAGTAAAATCAAAATTCTTCCCCTTGTCATCTTAATTATTGAGAAAAAAAGCAGCTATGTTAACATACATTTGTAAATCATTTTACTCTTTGCAAGGTACTGAACCAAGTGTCTTAGTTCTCTAGTACTGCTATAACAGAAATACTCACAAATTGATGGCTTTAACAAACAGAAATTTATTCATTTACAGTTTAAAACAAAAAACAAACTCACTGCTAGAAGTCCTAATTCAGAGTGCTGACTCTAGGGGAGGCTAGGCTAGAAGTCCAGGTTCAGTGTGCTGGCTTGGGGCTAGCTGGATACCCATTGTTCTGAGACTTCAGCTTTGCTTGGAAGGCCCACTGGGGCAAGCTGGAGGCTTCTCCTGACTCATGCAGCTGGCTGCTGAGGCTGACAAATCCAAGAGTGGCAGGTAAAATGACAGACTGTTGGTTCACAAGCTGTGAAGTCAAAAGTCCCAAGAAGGCAGGCAAAACACCAAATCATTGGTTGAAGTCCAGGAACTGGAGATGATGAATCATGAACCAAATGCAGGATGATTTCCTTATGTACTGGAAGCAGACCACACTCTGAAGGCAACTCCCCTTCAACTGATTAATTGCTCACAGATGATTCTATCATGGAGGTGATTATACCGTATCCAATATCATCATGGGGAATAATTATATCCAGTTGCCAAGCCACTCAAAATCATGGCCTAGCTAATTTGCTGCACAACCTTAACTACCACATCAAGCAAATTTGCTTAAAACACAAATTTGCTATTGTGATGCTCATGTAATTTGTTAGAAAAAAGAAACAACCCAACAGATGTCAAAACTTCAATATGTGGTGTTGGCAACAGATACTACAGTAGTTCAGAGAGAGAGTGCTGTGGACCTAAGAAGTTTTACAGAAAAGAATGGGACTTCACAGAGAACCATCATGGCTCATGAATGAAGGGTAGAATTGGATGTGCCATACGAAAGGGCTGGGAACTCTAGTAGCATAATGCCTAAGGAATTTGACTGCTAACCAGAAGACTGGCAGTTCAAACCCACCAACCACTCCTCAGAAGGAAGGTTGCGCAATCTACTTCCATACTGATACTGCCTCAGAAACCCAAGGAGTGGTTGCTATGAGTCAGATCCAACTCGACGGCAGTGAGTTTTGAGTTATACAGAAAGGCTAATAGTTAGAAAACATTCTATACTGTATTCTATAACTTCTGTATCTCTTTTGACTACCTTCAGTTTTTTGTATGTGTGTCTGGGTGTCTGACCCAAGACTTGTAGTCCACAATAAAGTGAATGCAAGCAGATATATGGCAAAGAAACTGCAAAGGACTGGAAGTCTTTCTGGCTTTTAGACAAGCCTGTCATTGCCACTAAGTTCTGTTTTTTGTCACCAATTCAAATATTATCACTTCTATGGAGTGAGACTTAATTATTTTGTCAACAAACTCTGAGAAACATTTCTTGGCAGTTAGAGGGAATTTATATTTTCTCTTTGAAGGGAAGAGAACATCCTATCATCCATGGAAATTGCCAAGGGGGGCTATCATCCTTAGGTTTTGTCAGGTAGGAGACAAAGTGGAGGAAGTGCAATCTTGATATCTTGAATTTATTCTATCGTGGAAAATTAAATAATAATGACTGGAGAAATGAAATATGCCTTTCAGACACTCAATGACATCCATGAATTGTATTTCTCTCTAGGTTGATACTAAGCTTATGTGTGTATCCTTCTACCAAAAAGACTCAATCAGTGCCTCTTTCTCAATGCCTAGAATAAGAGCCCGTCTCTCTCATTCTTTTCCATCTTCATGTTTTTATTTGTATTCCCTACAGGAATTTATAAAAAGGCAAGTGTCTTACCAACCTAATAATTCATTTTGGATAGGGCTTTCTCGCCCTCAGACTGAGAAACCATGGCTCTGGGAAGATGGCTCAGAATTCTCTTCTGATTTGTAAGTATCTAAAGATACAACATTTTGTCCCCTTTCTCAAAGAAGTTTAAGCATCTGAAGCAGTAACAAACTTGATTTGTTGGTCATGTATGAGAAAAAGAGAAATACTAAAAGTGACAGGGATAAGGGGGGAAAAAAGAGCTGGGGGGTAGGGAAAGAAAGGAGTGGAGTTGAAAGGAGCTGTGATGCCATTTAATTCTATCAATACAAATATTTCCTCAGCTTTCTTACCAAAGAGGTCACATGGCATCTTTTTGAAGTTGTCCAATCAAGGAGAATTGTTACTAAATGTAACACTGTTGTTAAAAGCCTAGGTTTTGAAGGCAGGTTTAAGCTTGAATTAATGATTAGCCATTCAATCATTGTATGACATTGGGTAAGTTGCTTAACTTCTCTGATCCTTACTTTCCTAGTTTGTGACAATAAAAAGAGTAACTGCCTCTTAAAATTGTGAGAGAAAAGAGAGTAAAGTCAAGTCACTTAGCATATTGACTTGTGCATAATAAGTGCTTGCTACATACATGCTATTATTGTTAAGAAACAAACATTTCACTTTATATAAGATTATTTCAATATATTTCACATTTGCATTATAAATTTTATAAATAAGTTTGCCTTATAATATTTTCTTTATAGTTGAAGTCTTCCCCTGTACAAGTATCATATTTTTCTTTTTAATATCTACTTAATATGAAGTTATACAGAAGAAAGATGAGGCAATCTGCTTCTGTAAAGATTTACAGCCTTGGAAACTCAATAGGTGTTACTATGAGTCAGAATTGACTTGATGTTAGTGAGTCTTGTTTGGAATATGACATTATATCCCCCTTTTTAGTTCTTATTGTTTGTGTATGTGTGTGTTTGCATATGTGTGAGAGTATAATGTCTCCTTTTTTTCCCATTAAATCTCAAAGTGCTTTTCAATTTAATTAGACTTCTTAAGAAAACAGTTTTTGGCCCTGTTTCTATTATCTCTTCCATTAATTTTTAGCTCTCCTATTTACTATTTTGTTTCATCCAATTTCTTTGAGTCGAATTTGCTATTTTTTTTTTCTAATTTCTTTTAATGTATCTTTGCTCGTGAATTTCAGCCTTTCTTTTTCTTGAGACTAGGCATTTAAGTTTGTAATTTTAAAGTATGTTCACTATCATTTAGTTCAAAACACTTTCTAATTTCTATTATAAAGTGTTCTTTCCTCATGGATTATTTAGAAATGTATTTCTGAACTTATAAACATAAATATTTCTGGTAATCCCTTTGTTTAGTTTTCAGGATTCATTTCATGGTGGTCAGAGAACATACTCAGCTTGATTGCAGTTCTCCACTTTTTATCTGCTAATTCTTTCCACAAATGAAATAATGTCATTATATCTTCCACATATTTGTGGGTTTTTAAATTTCTACTTATAGTTCTACAAATGTTTTATCTGAATGTGTTGATGCCATGTTCCTAGGCACATGTAGATACAGAATTATTATCTCTTGCTAATGCATGGCCCGTGCAATGTTACTTTTTCTTTTCTTTCCTCTATTTTGTCTTATTTATACTTTTTAATATTTCATCTTTTCTTCTGTTAATTGGTAATTTACTCTTTTACTATTTCTTAGTAGTTATTCTAAAGATTAAAAGATATATTCTTCACTCATCAAAGTCTAATACAAATTGGACTTTTTATGTTCTTCCTGGACAATATAAAAAGCTTAGAGTACTTTGTTTACCACTCCCCATCCCCACTATACAGCTATTATTGTTCTGTATTTTAATTCTAAAATACAATTATTTTTCACATGATAATAGCTCTAAAATTAGGATATGTCCTATAAATGATGTCCTCTTATAATCATGAGTCATATCTGACTCAACAGCAGTGAGAGCTTATAATCATGCAAAAGACTCTGTTGGCATAATGGTTAAAGCATTTGGCTCTTTATCAAAAGATCAGTGATTTGAACCCACAGTCACTACTTAAGAGAAAGAAGAGGCAGTCAGGTTTCATAAATATTTACAGCCTTGGAAACTCAATGAGGCAGTTCTACTCTGTCCTGTCATCTCATTTTTTGAGTAGGAATTGACTTGATGGTGATATTTTTTTTGTTTTTATTTTTAATAATCACTGTGGGCCTGGACTGAAGATGAACTCTCTCAAAAAGACATAGCATTTATTTTTTTCAATCAGCTTGGGGCAAAACAACCCTGAGAACACCTTAAATTAAAAATGCTATTTGGAATATTTTACACTACATTTGTATTATGAATTAAGATAGCAAAACTGTGTGAAGATGAGCTTGTAATTCAAATTCTGAGGGGATATCAATTTTTCCTCCCAGCTTCCAACTAATGGTACAATTGAAATATACAAGTTTCATTTTCCTTTTCTGTTTGCTCTTTTATTATTTATTTTTTTCTTACATGAAAATAGACCATTATTGTTCAACTTTTGCAAAGTAAACTATTAAAATTCCCATCCTATTTTTTCACATACTTGATTAACTGATGGCGTGTCTTACAATTGATGACACCTTGGATTCAACAAAAATGTAGGCTTAAGAAATAGGTGTGCGTGGAGCAGCCCTGGGGACAGCAGACCAGGTGCAGTGGGAAGGTGGGTATTTGTTTGCTTGCATGTATAGAGCAGCCTCAGGGACAGGCTGGGTAAGCAAGCAGGTCGAGAAAGACCAGGAAATGAGCATAGTAGCTTGGAACAACTAAGGGAACCAAACTTGTCCATCAGTTTGTTGTACTGTGGTGGCTAGAGTGTTGCTATGAGGCTGGAGGCTATGCCACTAGTGTTTCAAATGCCAGCAGGGTTACCTGTGGTAGACAGGTTTCAGTGGAGCTTCCAGACTAAGACAGAGTCAGAAGAAGGAAGAGGCCATCCAATTCTCAAAGAATTGGCCAGTGAAAACCTTATGAATAGCAGTGAAACACTGTCTGATATATCACTGGAAAATTTTATGAAAAGACCTGAAACATTATGTGATATAGTGCTGGATGATGAGCACCTTAGGTCAAAAGGCTCTCAAAATATGACTGGAGAAGAGCTGCCTCCTCAAAGTAGAGCCAACCTTAATGATGTGGATACACTAAAGCTTTTGGGACCTCCATTTGCTGATCTGGCACATCTCAAGATGAGAAGACACAGCTGCAAACATCCATTAATAATCAGAACATGGGATGTACAAAGTATGACTCTAGGAAAATTGGAAATGAAATGGAATGCATAAAGATTGATATCCTAGGCAGTATTGACCTGAAATGGATTGGTTTTAGCCATTTTGAATCAGACAATCATATGATCTACTATGCCAGGAATGACAAACTGAAGAACGGTGTGGCATTCATCATCACAAAGAATGTATCAAGACCTATCCTAAAGTACAATATTGTCAGAGATAGGATAATATCCATATGCCTATGAGGAAGGCCAGTTAACACTACTATTATTCAAACTTACACACCAACCACCAAAGCCAAAGATGAGAAAATTGAAGAGTTTTACCAACTTCTGCAGTCTGAAATTGACCAAACATGCAATCAAGATGTGTTGACTATTGCTGGTGATTGGAATGCAAAAGTTGGAAACAGAGAAGAATCACCAGTAGTTGAAAAATAAGACCTTGGTGATAGAAATAACTCTGGAAATCACATGATAGAATTCTGCAAGGCCAATGACTTATTCATTTCCAATACCTTTTTTCAACAACACAAGCAGTGGCTAGTTGCTGTGAGGTTGATTCTGACACATGGTGACCGACCCCCTGTGTGTTAGAATAGAAATGTACTCCATAGGGTTTTTAATGTCTGGATTTTCAGAAGTACATCAGGATTTTCTTCCAAGACACCTCTGAGTGGACTGAAACTTTCAACCTTTCAGTTAGCAGCATCACCCAGGGATGCTTTCAGTCATAGTTGCTTTAAATATTGCTTCTTCCCATATTTCTTCCTTTCCTCTGGGATTACAGTTACATCTCTTTCACACTATCACATGCCTCTTAAACTCTTTATTTTCATTTTTTTTTCTCTTGTTTTAATTAAGATATTTGTTTCTCACCTATCTCCAGTTCATCAGTTTTTCTAATCTGGGGCTAATATGCTTTTAAAAGCACCCATTAGATTCATAATATTCATTCTTGAATTTTTAAGTTCTGTAATCCCACTTGGTTCTTTTTCAATGCTAACATGTAACAATATTGTTTTTCAACTTTTAGTTAAGAACTAGTTTTCCTTCGACATTCTCAATATTGTCTTTTTACTTTTTGGAACACACTGATCACAGTTTTTCAAATGTCTGCATCTGATAATTCCAATATTTTATGCTCATTCACATCTGTTTCTGTTTATTTTCTCTTATTTTTCATTCATGCTGGTTTTCTTCTTATATGCCTTACTATTTTTGATAATTTGCAGGATATTGTATCTTAAAATGTTTGTAGAATTAATTTGAAGTTACAGAGTAGCTTTATATTTGCTTCTGGCAGGCATTATTGGGTGTGAGAAGTACAAAGTGCTGAGTCTGATAACATTTTTATTTTAACACTGCTATGAATCAGAATAAGGAGCTCTGGTGGCACTGTAGTGAAGACATGGAGTGCTAACCAAAAGGTTGGTGATAGGTGGTTCAAACTCACCAGCTGCTTCATGGAAGGAAGATGGTAAAATCTACTTCTGTAAAGATTTACTACCTTGGAAACCCAACGGGGGTTGTTAGTTGGAATCAACTTGATAGCAGTGGGTTGGGTTTGGTTTATGAGTTGAAATCAGCTTGATAGCAGAGGCTTTTCTTTATTTTGGTTTTAGCAATTTTATTTCCACTAGCCCAAGCACAGTGAATTTATTAGTAATCTTACATATATATCTTCAACACTTGTTTATCTTGAGATTTCTTTTGCCATTTTAAATATATGACTAGATGACTTTTTCAAGGGTCACAAGAGTGGTTTTGAGTTACCATTTCGATATATTAGTACTCTTTGATTTCATAGATGGCAGTACACTTAGTATGGCTCTCTATACCCAAAAACACTTGGATGTCAAGAAACATTTCTGGAGAAGAAAACTTATCAGAGCTTTCCCTGAGGCCTGTACCACAGTTTTTCATGCCCTTAGCCTAGAATTTTCTACAATAGGATGCTTTCATTCCTCTGACCTCAGAGACAAGAAAAAGAAAGGTAACTAAGATTAAGACCATGCCCTTTCCCTAAGACTCAATGATGTCCTTTGAGATTGATGTTGTTGTTGTTGTTGTTTGCCGTCGAGTCAAACCTGACTCATAGCGACCCCTCCTTGGGTTTCCAAGGCAGTATCACTACGGAAGTAGGATTGCCCAACCTTCCTTCCGAGGAGTGGCTGGT